AACAATAGGTCTTCTTTGGAAGCCCTGAACCTGTGTGAAGGACACAGTGATGTTTTTCCCTGGAAACAGATCTGATCCTGGAGAAAACCTGAGAAAACTGGAAAGATGGACAGAATCACTCTAAGATCTGCAGTTAGCTACTTCCTGATTAGTTTTTAAGGGCATTTGGTCACTATGGAAAGTTACTGAATGGATTATTTTAGGTTGTGTTGGTTACAGTGCATCAAAGGCAGCTGAAGGGAATTTTTTGATTGTTATATATATATATATATATATATATATATATATATATATATATATATATATATATATATATATATATATAATTTATTTATTTATAAAAAAAAAATTTTTCCTGTGGGTGAGCGATTGCGGGCGGGTCGGTGTCTGGTGTCTGCTGTCGCATTGTGGGGGCTTTTATGCTTGGCGTTCTTTTTCCGGGGGGGAGATTGGCATGTCTGTTCTCTCGGAGGGCGGCCCCGTTAGGTGGGGGTCCTGCTGTCTGCGCGCCGCTGGGCGGCTCCGGCGGGGGTGTTGTTTGTGGGCTGGTGTGGATGGGCTGGCTGTGCTGATTGGGTTTTTGGGTGGGTTTTCCCACTTGGAGGCATGGTGGAGCTTCTTTGTTCCCGCTGATCGCAGCAGATGTGGCTGCAGAGCGGGTGGGGGGTGGAGTGGCTCCGGCTGGCGCGCGTCGGGGGGCCGGGGCGGCGGAGGTGCTTCGGCCGTGTGTCGGGGGCTTGTGCGGGCGGTGAGGGGGGGTGATGGACACGGCTGTGCTGCTCTGGCTTTGTCCGGTGGGGAGCGGCGTGGTTCGCTCTGCTCTGGCTTTGTGCTGCCCGTGGGCTGGTTGGTTGCGCTAGCTGCAGTCTGCTCTTCTGGCGGTTGGGCGCCGGGCGGCTTTTTCTGCTCTTAGGTTAGTTATGTGCGCGGTGTGATGCGTTGCACGCTGTTGGCATCTGTCTTGGTGGGGTGGGGCCGCGCTTTTGGCCTGGGGGGCGTTTTGGGGGGGTTCTGCGGCGCTCAAGGCCGGTTCGCGGCGGATGGGCGTGGGCTCCGGCTGTGGGCGCAGCGGCCTGTGTGTTTTTCGTGGGTGGTGCGGTCACGTTGGGTGTTGCGGGCGGTCGCCAGGGATTGGTGCAGGGGGGCGGGGTGTGTTTCGGCACTCTGTGGGGCCGGGGCGTTTCGGTCGGTGCCATGGGGGGACCGGTGTTCGGTGCCCAGCCCTACTTCAGGGTGGCCGGCTGCCGGCGGAGCCCGGGGCTTCGTCTCTCCGGGCTGTCTCTCCTCCTCCCTCGGTGGGGGTCCGATTTCCGGGGCTGGCCCCTCCTCGGTGCCTTCGCTCTCAGGGTCCCTTTGGGCGCCTGGGGCTTTGGGTCTCCCGGCGCTGGACTCAGTGCTCTGGGGGT